TATATATATATATATATATATATATATATATATATATATATATATAATGTGTGTATATATAATGTTTTTTTTTTGTTCATGAATTTGTTTTGTTTATTTTGTCTTGAATGAATAAATGAATAAAATAAAATAAAAAATTAAATGGCTTTAAACATCTGCTAAGTTCATCACATAAACCATTACAGACATGTTTTTTAGTATTTTACATCATTTTAGCTGTTTTTGTTTCGTTTTTTTTATATATATATATAATTTTCTTGTAATTTTCAAATCATGTTTTTTTTTGTTTTTTTTTATGATTGTCTACTGTTGTACTGATAAATATCTCCTGGAGGGTAAACTATATCTTGGCTGCAAGTATCAAGCTGTGAAATCCTTAGTTGTCTACAACGGATAGTGGTTGGTCATTAATTATGATGAAGTTTAGAAACTTCTCTGTAAGCATTTGAGCTCCAGGGATTCAGCAATGTCTTCTTCTTGTTCAATCCGCAGCAGTTGATCTGATTTCGGTCAGCCGCACTCAATCTGTCCCTCCTCGGAGACGGGCAGATTGAGCGGTGCAGATTGGACGCGGCTGGCCGGGGTCGAGCTGCCTGCTACGCGTTCAGAAAGAGTAGCGCCACGCTAAAGCCCCGGAGCTCGAATGTCCATCGTAAAACTAACTTTTCTGCGGTTTAATGTGGTACTATGGCTCTGCAAACATTGCATGTTGCTGTCTTGATTTGTGGTGTTTCTAGTGTAAAATACTTCCACACAGCGGACATGTTTCAATGAAAAGTTGGTTAGCTGTTAGCCACAGTGCTGCTAACTCAGCCCTCACGTTGTAGCTGGCTGCAAATTATGAAATGGATTTCCTGAATGTGAGGCGGGTCTTATTACTCTGGGTTTATGAGACACGCCTCCGTTCAGAAAATCCATTTCATAGTTTGACGCCAACATGCATCATGGATCGGAAAATTACGTAAATTATGCTGGTATCTGAGGCCGATACCGATACAGGATCGGATCGGCCCCATCCCTAGTACGTGTACTCTGTGTCGCATAATAAACTACCCGACAACGGACTGTATTGTATGAGACACCAATGTATTAAATCCATGACCTGGCCTTTTTTTTTCCTCCTCCATTGATGCCATGATTGAAATGGTGAGAAATGAAGGAATTTGTCATGAGCGAATTAAAATCAGGTCCAGCGTGGCTGTGGGAGTGTCTGGAGATTTCCTGTTGGGCTTTTCTGATGTGTGGGTTGCAGAGCTAACACTCCCTGTTTTTGTTTTGTTTTTTTTTAGAACTTTTTATTAACAACATAAGCTATGTTTACATGCACAGAATTCTTTGACCGGATTGAAATGTGTTCTGTTTGAATAATTCAAATGTATTGTTTACATGGGCACAATCTGTTCATGACGAGCGTTTACATGCAGCGGGCTTTGTTCTGAACAGCAGTACTGACATGCGCAGAGTGGTAAACTGTCCTTAAAAAAAACACAGAAGAAGAAGTTCTTCTTCCGGGGTGAACGTAAACAAACCTGAGCACCCAAAATGGACCCGCGACAGGTTTTAATGATGGTGGAGACGTTACTGCACTCCCTGACTGAGCTACAGGTAATACAGATCATTTTGAGCTCTTTTAAAGTTTCTAGTAGAAATGTTGTGTCGCTCACCGACCAGTTTTGCTTCCCTGACTAGGGGTTGAACGAGTATATAATTTTTAAACTCGACATTAACATAATAAAACCCGAGTAGAACTCGAGTATTTGATGACGTCCTAGATCTCAAGATACAAAAATAAATAAATAAATAAAATCGCAAAAAAAAGTAATTATTTACAAAAAAAGACCAACAAAACATTGGGAGCATATATTGTGCTCCTACCATTTATCATACTGCAAATAAGTCACAGGAAATCTAAACTATTAGTTATTATTATTAAACTGCAAACGTGAAGAAACGTGCAGCACGTCAAAAACAAAACTTAACAGTGTGTGTGTGTGTGTGTGTGTGTGTGTGTGTGGGGGGGGGGGGGTGTCGACCACCCTGCACCACCGCCAGCTGTGGTGCGCATTAAGTTTAGTTTTAGAGATTAATATATTTATAGATTTTTTTTTTTATAGGTTTAGAGATGAATATTTTTTGCTTTTTGTTTGTGAAACGAGAGGAAGCTGGTTCTGGTTCG